TAACTTTGCATTCTCGAATGGGTTAGGGCCTTTATTGGAGGCATAAGGTGACACTATCATTTGTATGAAGTTGTTGTGATTGTTGTACTGTTATTGTGGTTGTAGGAATTATGGACAGAACGTTGATACAAAACCCGAATAGATGTGCGGACGAATACTTGGATAGAATTGAGGATTTTATTGGCTTTGCACGTGCACATAACCCAGGTGCAACTATAATTCGGTGTCCTTGTAGGAGGTGTAACAACACGTTAAGGGACACAATTGAAAATGTTCGATTTCATTTAGTAAGGAATGGAATGGTTGAGTATAACACTTGGAACCATCATGGGGAACAATTAGACAATGCTTTGTCTTCAAACATCCTAAGAGTGGGCAATGTTGAACCTATTGTGGATCATAATGAACAAGGCATGAATATTATAAATGATGCTTTTCCATTTGCATCGACAAACACCAATTAGAAGGGGAAGATGACGTGCCTACACCAATGGACAATGCATAGTTCGAACAATATGAAAAACTATTAAAAAATGCTAACCAAAAGTTATACCTAGGGTGCGAGAGCATTTCGGTTCTCACGGCCATTGTGGAACTAATGCACAGGAAAAAGAAAGTATTGTATGTCGAACTAGTGTCTCGATTAATTTTTGGGGGTTTTCAAGAAAATGCTTCCAAAGGACAATTGTTTGTCGAAATACCATAGACATGCGCAAAAGGTGTTGAATGGTCTAGGATTGGTTATGAAAAAAATCATTCTTGCAAAAATAATTGTATTTTATTCTACAAAGAGAATAAAGCATTGGATAAATGCCCTGTATGCAATGAGTCGAGGTTTAAAATGACATCTCAGAATAGAACGACTAAGATCCCATAAAAAGTTATGTGTTATCTGCCTTTGAAACGTAGGTTGCAGCGATTATATATATCGACGCATACTGTCACCGACATAAGATGACACAAGGAAAAACAGGTAGACGACGATGTGATGAGGTATCCTGCAGATGGGAAGGCATGGAAAGAGTTTGATTGAATGTTCCTCGAGTTTGTTGCTGATCCTTAGAATGTTAGATTAGGACTTGCCTGACGGATTTGATCCGTTTGGGGTTCTAAACCAACACTACATCACTTGGCCGATTTTCGTATTTCCATATAATTTGCCACCTTGGAAAATTATAAAAAAAGAATACATAATGATGACTCTTTTGATAACTGAGGATCCTGGTAAGTCAATTGATGTTTACTTAAGGCCATTGGTTGATGAGCTAAAGGGTTTATGGACAAACAGTGTGTGCACTGTACGATCAATGTACTGAGAAACTGTTCACTTTGTGGGCAGTAGTTATGTGGACTATGAACGATTTTTCCGCATATGCAATGGTTTCTGGGTGGAGCACTAGGGGTTATATGGCATGCCCTGTATGCAAGGATGATGTAACATTTGGTTGTCACGTTGGAAAACTGTGTTACCTTGGTCATTAAAGATGGTTGCCATGGGACCACGAGTGGTGGGAAAAGGATAAAGAGTTTGACAGGAAAACAGAGCATCGCCTTAAACCTAAAGAATGGTCTGGTGATCAGATTTTGGAAGAGCTTAACCATTTGGATTTTGCTTCGTTCGGGAAAACAGTTAGTAGGACCAGACCTTCTACACATATGAACTGGACGCACAAGTCTATGTTTTTTGAGCTCCTCATATTGGTCGAAACTAAAATTGAGACACAACCTCGACGGTATGCATGTTGAGAAAAATATATTTGACACATTGGTGGGCACCATTCTAGATATCGAGGGCAAGACAAAGGACACAATCAAAGCTCATCTTGATTTCGAAAGAATGGGCATACGGAAGGGTGTATGGATGAATAAGGACAGTCATAAAGCCAGAAGGGGTCTTCCATTTTTTCCATGAAACCGAATGACAAAAAAGAGTTTTTAAAGTTTGTATCATCAGTAAAGTTTCCATATGGGTATGCTTTTAATATCGCGCATTGCGTGAATGTTGACGGGGATAAATTTGCTAGACTAAAGAGCCATGACTGGTATGTGGTTATGCAATGCCTACTTCCTGTGGGTATTCGACACCTATTGCTGGAAGATGTTGTGAAGCCAATCATGTTGTTTCTAGATTTTTTTTCCCAACTAACGGCAAGAACATTGTGAAAGATAGACGTTAATCAATTGTGCCATGACATTGTCCAAGTCCTATGCAAGTTTGAGATGATATTGCCTCCAACTTTCTTCACAAGTATGATCAACGTGATGGTTCACTTGCCCGAATAGGTATTGCTTGCTGGTCCTGTCAACTAGCGCTGGATGTATCCAATAGAAAGGTATATAATCCACATCATTTGTTTATTCATCATTAACCAATGCTTACTAATTTGTATCATATTGTTTTATTTTGGCAAGATTCTCGAGGAGTTGAAAAAAAATGTACGCAATAGGGCGAAGGCCAAATGATCAATTATAGAGGCTTGGGTTGAATATGAGTCGCTTACATTTTGTGAAATGTATTTAAAAGATGTGGAGACAACTTTCAATCGTCCTTAGCACAATAATGATGGGGGTGTGAAAAGGGAGAAACTTTTTGTTTTTGCCCAATACGCACGACCCTTTGGAGATCCTGTACGAGGCGAGTGGTTTTCCAAAAATGACATGGAGGTAGCGCATTGGTTCTTACTGAACAATTGTGACGAGAAAATGGCATACCTAGATGAGCATGAAGAGATGATGAAGTCAGAACATCCATCACATTTGTATGCCAAGAAACACCGAGGATTGTTTCCATAATGGTTTCTTGAATACGTAAGTTATAAGTGTTTTACATTTGACATATATATTGTAGCATTTAATTTTCTCAAACAAACATGTGTATGTTTTTGTATAATGTTAGGTTAATAAATTGAAAGCATCGAATTCCCCCACTTACAGTGAAGAGTTATATTTGCGCTGAATTGTTCTCGGGTTGCCATGTTAACGGCTCAAGTTTTTGGGGGCTGCACGAAATGACAAGTTGTATACGCAAAACAACTGATGTCCTTGTCCTAGGTGGAGGCGAAAGTACAGACATTGATTTCTATGACAAACTAACAATTTTCGTGCAATTACTTTGCAAAGACCGATGCCAAGTGATCATGTTTAAGTGTCAATGGTTTGATACAAACCCAAATAGGCAGGGAAGTGTTAAAATCGACCATGGCATACTGGTCTGTGAACATTAATAGAACTTGGTACGATGACGACCCTTACATTTTGGCAAACATGGCAAAACAAATTGTGTATGTAGATGACCCTAAAGCCGAGAGAGGTTGGTAAGTTGTTTAGAAGATGGATCAGAGGAATGTGTATGCTATACCAGAACAAGCCCCTACTGACGACGACGTTGACCAACATTTAGAATCTTCAATGGAAAATGATGCAAAAACACTTCGAGATACAAATCTCATCCAAGAATCGTTTCAGATACAAGAAGTGGCTTCAATCGAAATACCGATTTAGTCAATTACAATTGACCTTGGTAATCTATCGTGATACGATGATGCAGTGGGCTCGAACAACTATGGTGACGTACGTATCAAGCAGGAAGATTGGGAGACCGAAAGTGATGATAGCGACAATAACGAAAATTATTATAGTTCAGATGATGAATAATGCAATTTATTTGTGACTTGCTATGTAAAACATATTACATGATTTTCTTTTGTAATTTATTTATCTTATGTTATAAATAAATTGTTTTTATTTGAATAAATATAAATTTTAAAAAAATTTGACCCACGTAAATTAAATTTTCAGCTCATTGTGCAACGAACATGAAAAAAATTTGCCGCGCAAATACTATTTGCACGACAATTAAATTCTTCTTCATCGCACAAGGAGGTGAAAATTTTGACTTTTTGGGCGTGCACGAAAAAAATTCGTGAAAATTTGAATTTTTTGCATGATGAATATCTTCTATTCGTCGTGCAAGAACCTCGGGATTAAACTGAAATCGCAAACACTTTCCCCTCACCTCTTCCTCTCTATAAACTCTCTCCCTCTGACAGCCTTTCTCTCACTAAATCTCTGTCTCCCTCCCTCTCGACCTCTTGCCCCCTCGCACTCTTTCTTCCTCCTACGACATACCCTCACCACCACACACCCATCTTTGGTGGTCCACAGTTCCTTACCCACGCCCACAGTCCGGTCCACCCATCTCTGCTGCTAACAAGGTAAAGATTTCAAATTTTTTTAATTTATTTCGATTTTCATTTGGGGAATTTGGGGTTCCAGTTTATAGAGCATTAGATTGGATAATTAAGGGATTGATTTTAGGGGGATTCGGGTTTAGGAGTTGGGGGTTGGATTTTTGGGTATTAGGGTTTACAATTTTTTCAGATTTTAGGGGATTGGGTGGTGCGGGTTTGTTTAGGATTTTTGCAAATTTCAGCATTTGAGAGTTAAATTGTCAAGGGTAGATTTCTGAGTTCAGCTGCATTAAATCTGATGATATAATGCAGTGGCGCTTTTTTCGCTGCTTAATTTTCTTTAAGGAGAAGTGAACTGGTATCTTTTTTTTTTTAATGGGGTATGCTACCTTATCAAATAACTCATGCGAAAGCTCTTAAGAAAATGCGGGGTATTTCAAAGTCAACTAAATATTGTGTTTAGTTTAAGGATTCATGTGGGCTTGATGCATCGTACACAATTATGCGTGCCTGTTCCATCCTATTCTTATTCTATTTGGTGTAGTTGAGCTGTTTTTGTAAATGAAAGTAAACCCTTTTTCTTTAATGATTTTGGTATTGCCGGTAACATGTTACAGCTTAGTACCAAGCTCAATCCATGGCATAAATCAAAATTTGAACTGTGATTCTTAATGGGTCTTTGAAATGGCAGGCAATGAAGATTACCAAACAGTTTTATATGGGTGCATGCTAGTCGATTGAGGATTTTTGCTACTGATCAAATAATATGATGTTTATTGTTCCTCATTGTTCAGAACTGATATGTTTTTTTTTTTTTTTGGTCGAAAGAGTTAGAGACTCGGAATTCATTAAAGATAAAACATATTACAAAGCTAACCAACGGCCCAAGATAAAAACAGTGGGAGGCCCAACCCACACCGACAAAAGCCTAGAACGGAAAACAAACGACAAAAAGAAAACCTAATCTCCATCAAGGAGAAGCAGTCTGACGCCGCAAAACTCTTGCCAGCAACCATCAAAGTGACTGCCATGTAGGACCAAATAGAAGGTGGATCCGCAAAGAGTCCAGCACAGCCAAATTAACACATAAAGAAAAGAAATTCCATAACAAAGATCATATCTCAGAGTTCCGCAACTAACCAAGCCATGTAGATCCGTACCACCAACCACCACACCTGTAGGAAGAGAACCAAGTAGACACAATACCGGGGGGAAGGAGGGCCAAAGAGATGTGGTAGAACACCCTTACTATGACGGAGGTCGCAGAACACTTCGCCCAAATTTTTCAGCATGCCGGTAAAACAAGGGGCAGTGGGGGTAGAGATCTACATCCCAAATCGAGTCCAAAACTCGAAGACTTGATTTTTGGTAGAAGGGGAAGTGATGGAGAGGGTGAAGGTGGAGGTGCCAGGGGAAGGAAGGGGAAATCAGAAAAATGGATGTGAGAGAAAATGACCGAAGAACTGGAATTTGGGTTTGAAAAGAGGGCAAGATGTAGGAGGAAAAGAAAGAAGAGCCGGTAAATGGTGAAGGACGTCGGAAAAAGAGGTATTGACCTTACAATCTGATAGCCATAGACAGCGGAAGGGTTGGTCATAGACATAATAAAGTGCTATCCCAGATTCCCTTTTAAGGTTTCATGTTGACTTCAGAGTGTTGAGCTCTAAAAAAGCTTAAGTGGCTAGCATATGTGGCTTTGTTGGATTGAGGAATGTGGAGAATGAGGGGAATTGATAATTGCTTTATTGTAGACTTTGTACGATGATCGGGCTACTCCGCTTTTCGTTTGATTGAGAAGATTTCCGCTTTTGGGATAGCTTAATATGCTTGATGAGTTAGGTATTTGGTTTTGTTGTAATTGACATAGCATTGAGTTGCTTGAGGTTCAGAGTATTGTAACTTGTCTATTTCGATTTTGTTTGATTATTCGGGTTTGAGCTTTTTGTATTCTCTACCGTTTTTGTTGGATTAGGGGTCTGCTATTTCTTTTGATTGCTATGGTTTTGAGGTGTCTGAGATGGGAGTTGGGGAGAGTATTTGATAATAATGGTATTTTGTATTTCGGTTTTACTGCCATTTGTGAGTAATAAGGGTATGGTCTTATGTTCTTGGTTTCTATTTGGTGCATCTGCTTCTTCCGGTTGTTCTCGCTTGTTATATTTTGTCAAACTGGTTTATTCTCCCTTGAGCCAAAAGCTTAAGTTGCTAGCATATGTACTTTTGGTGTGGATGTTTATAGAAAGAAATTAATATTATAGTGAATTGTTTCCACATATTAGTATTGGTATTTTGAGCAACCTCAGAACCATATCATTTGTGAATTGGATTGAATTTCTGAAGGCTGCTGCCCCTGTATCACATCATATATATGGATTGAATTGTTTTTCTTTTCTAATTGTGCAGATGTCAAAGCTTATTAGAAGTCGTAAGACAGTGATGACTGCACCCCCTCCAATTCCCCCGCCTCCTACTTCAGCGGCCATTGCTCCAGCAGAGATGGAGCCCAGATTGGTTAATCTAGTTGATGCGGTTGATCCAGTTGCTCCCCGGATCTCCTAGGCGCTGTCGTCATCAACCTCTTTAGTGACGCTACCTGTTAGCGCCAGGCGTGGTCACCATCGCCCCCGCACACTCGACACAACATCGGCATCCACTACTGATGCCTCGAGGTCCCAACAAGGTAAACATATGATAAACGTTGATAACTGATTTTTTCTATAGTGCCTTGGTGATTACTTCATATAGACTGTTCCATCTCATATAGGAAGATCAATCAAGCAGCATAGATTGGAACTTGAAAGTTTGTCATTTTATTTCTAATAACTGCTCGAATAAATCTCTTATGCTAAATTTTGTCAATATTTATATTGCTAATAAAATTTGCTGTATTCTGTTATCAGTGTTTGATATAAATGATTCTATTTGTTGGAGCATGAATGCCAATGGTTGATTTACTGTCAAACCTGTAACTTGAATTCAAAATAATGTGACATCAATTAACTTAAAAACTGAGTTGCTAAATAGAATGTGGAAGTTAAATGTTCCTCATGAGATTAAAATTTTTAGTTTGCTTTTGATTCTAGATAGGTTACAAACTAGATATTCACTATGTAATATTTTACTCGGCATCCACTACTGAAGCATTCAACTATTGTGATTGTTGTTGTATATCATATCTTGTTCATTACAATGTCCAGGGTTTGGGAATTGTTATAACTTTAGGGGAGGTTCTGCCGAAATTTGGGTTTAATTTGTTGTGTTTGTTTGAATATTTTTTATTTTTTTTCAGCAAAGAAAAATACCCAGGGACCTTTTCACTAGTTGAAGAAGGCGAAGATCACCTGGGTGACCAACTGATGTATCATGATCGGATACGACGATCGGCATTGGGCTGCACCAACAGCGGATTGGCCCACGACATTGGTCACATTGTTCGGACCTATTGCTCTATGCAATTGAAGTCTTGGAAGGCGATGCCAGACGAGGTGAGGACGAAGGTGCGCGAATATTTGTCGGTAAGTATCTTGCCTTTTTATTGCTTTTCCTTTAAATTTTATACATTTATATTACTTAATGTATGTAATTAATTTGTTACATTGTAGACAAACTACAATTCGAAGACATCAACAACGATATGTTGGCGTACGTCAGCAAGCTCTTCGCTGAACGGTACAAGCAGTGGAAGAGTGACCTGCACCAATATTTTGAGACATTTGATGATCCGGATGTCGCTCTAGAGGAGGGTTGTTCGAAGAAGTTTTAGGATCGAGAAGAAAATTGGGTGTGGCTCTGCAATAATTTTCAGGGGCCCAGCTATGTGGTATGTGTTTTATATTAAGTCTAAAAGTATTATACGTTTCCTACTAATGTTTATTGATTTTTTTATATTTCATTTAAATTAAAACTAATATGTTTATTTTTTTTTATAACAGAAGAAGGCAAAAGCCAACAAGATCAATTGGGAGAAGAAGACACTTCTCCACCATTCGGGTTCGAGGCCCTTCTCATGTAGGATAAAGGCGTGGCTATAGGTAATAATAAAGCTTTTCATATTCAATTTTTAATATGTTAGTAATATTAATATTTTTTTCGTACTAACATTTTTCTTATCTTATTCTATTCAGAGGGTTTCAAAATTCTCGAAGATCGATGTCTTTGGAGACGTTTATGTTCAACCTGGGGATGAGTTGGCCGAGTCCCTTCATGTAAGTATTCTTCAATTGTAATTACTATCTTACGCATTCAAGTATCATAGTTATTATTTGAATGTTATTATTAATATTTCATGTTATATTACACAGGCGAAGATGATGGAGAATAGACAGTTGGTTCTTCAGGACTCCGCCTCCCAGCTTTATCCTGAGACTCCACTCGAGTCTATGGATCTGCCCGAGGATGCGGGGTTTCAAATCTTTACAGACACCTTGGATTAGACTCTCGGGCGGAGGCAATCGATGTATTGTAGAGGATGGGGGATGTCTGGCGGCGAGAACCTAGAGCCTCTTCATCATCGTAGTCGAAGGCCAATGTGACAGCTTTGACAGCAGAGGTGGCTAACTTAGGACTGAACTCGCATTGTATAAGAGCCATATGTCACTGAACGTATAGGCCCTCAATCAGTCTGGCATTCGTCTCCTGGATATTCGTCCCCCGTCGACGTCCGAGCCTCTCTAACTCGAGCATGCCTAGAACTCTGCCCCTTCAACCTCTGAGCCCGTCCTCAACCCTACGACCTTCATGCCCCAAGATTTCCAGCCGCCTGCGAATGACGACCCCGTAGATTATTCCACATTCTTTTCTTAGTTTTTTACTCCCTTACTTTATAAACATCTTCCTTGTACATACATTTTATATTTATTTTAAATAAATTATTTTTCTCCTCATTACATTTTTTAATTGCAATTGAATTTTATTATTTTATTGCAAAATTAATACCAGAACAAAAAAATAAATTAAAAAATATATATATATATATATATTTTTTTTGCGCGACAAATACCTTCTCTCGCATAATTTTTTGTGACTAAACTATTTTTGTCGCATAAGAATAACTTGTTGCGCAAAGTTTTTAGAGATGAAGATTAGTCATCTCAAGTATGTATCCTGGAATTTTGTGTGACGAATACATGTTCCTAAAAATTTTGTGCGATGAAGTCCAAACCGTCACTGACACACCCCGACCGAGATCAGGGCATGTTGGCCGTCACATGGAAGTGACGTAACCATGTGCACAGTGCGGAAGCTAATAAATAATAATAAAAGTACGAATAAATAAAAACCAGCTATACACAAAGTAAGAACATACATGTGCAAGCGTAAGTGTGAAAAACAAGTTTAGAGCACGGAAGACTTAATGCAGTCCGGGAGAAGCAACACTACATAAACACACCCAAATGTGGTCCTACACTGGTGATAATCTGTCAGATATGACGGGAAAATCCTCTGGGGAGCCACCACAAGTGCTAGCCAACTAGAACCTGGAGGGGCGCAAAACAGAAAGGGTGAGTGGGCAAAACAAAGCTTTTCAAAAACCATTTCATAAACAAAGTTCTAACCCCTCGTCGTAAAACCTGTATACTTCCCAGAAAATAGAATATACATATATATAAGTCATGCTCAGAAATATGCCATGCCAAATGCCTCGAAATAAAATGCCAGTACTCAGGTAATGCCAAACAATGCCATGTAATCTGTCAGCCGGAGTCACCTAACGTGACCTGTACGGCTGAATCTAGAGCTCAAATCTCCATCTCACTAACTATACCTGCACACGAGTCGGAACCACCTAAAGTGGTCTGTACGACAGGACTGGGTGTATAATAAGTACACTCAAGTGCTACGATCACGTGAAGGCTGGGCGAATAATCGCGGGTCACCTACGAGTCGGAACCACCTAAAGTGGTCTGTACGACAGGACTGTGCACCTAACTTAGATCCAAGATAAGCGTGTGGTGCGGGAGGTGAATATCACGTGAAGGACTGTGCCCAACTCTGGGCAGGAACACTAACACCGGGGGTGCATGTTATGAGCTCTCGATGCATCTCAAATCACTACTGAACAATAAATATAACCCATAACTCACCTGGCACTTACCTATGCGTCCGCAGCACCAACACATATATAAATATGCAACAATAATGCATAAATAACTGGGCAAACAATATACGTGGCATATAAACATATAAACATTTCATTTCACTTTCTGGGAAAAACATAAGTATATAGGTATATACGGAAAACCAAAAGCCCACTCACTGGTATGTAGAAGGGTCGCAACCCCCTTGCCTCGAGTGACCACGCTTGTCCTCGAGATAGGTCTCACCTATACGCGAAACAACTATAAATACGTTAATTTTAAAGCACATAACCAACATCACGAAATAACTTCTCATACAACGCTCAAATGGGGTGTATGAATACACCAACGTGATCTACTCAACCTCACGAACATCCCTATATTTTTAAAATAATTTTTCGACGCCGCACGCGTCCCCATGCGCCGGCCAAGGCACGGCCACACGCGCCGCCCAAGCGCAGGCACGTGCTTGGCACACTGACGGCGTTAGTTAACGCCTGAAACCAATAAGCTGAATAGTATCCAGCAGATGATGGAAAAGGGTACAAGCCCGCAGAAATTTGGTTATACCCAGCCCAATGATTGAAATTAATGACGGACAAACCAACTCGATCGGGTTAGATCCGCTGGTTGGTTGGCTTCGTGGGATATTTCTGATTATTTTGGGATGGATGATAATGTTAGGATGATCAAAATTTTAAATTAAATTTTGTAAATCAAATGATATGGTTATTGTAGAGTAAAAAATAATCATAAGGCGACACGTAAATTTTTGGATAAAAGAGGGTAAAAATACCCTTGAGGCATATCGGGATTCCTACGCACAAGCAGCAGACAATCATCACTAAACCAAGTTAAAAGTGCCCAAAATAGGTGAACGATTCAAAACCTATTTCATCCATCCTCATCAAATCCTCTCCACAAAGTAAACCGCAAAACATTCCTTTTAAATTATGTTAATTGGCTAATTAATGGATTTATTACCTAATTAATCTATTAATGGCCAATTAAATCACCAATTATACCCAAAAAATATACAAAGGTCGGTGACCTTCTCTCCCAAGGGGACCGGTCATGCACTATATATTCAACCTCATTTCCTCTAAAAACCTACGTCTTCACTCTTGCTAAAATTCTCCAAAATTCCCAAACATTTTTCTCTCAAAATTCTAACTTTGGCATCGGAGGTTCTTCGACCAAAGCCCCCCATTCATCGTGGGCGGGTGAGGCTCTTGGCCTTGACCTAAGGTGTAATTTGTTTTGTAGGTGCAATTTTGTCCAAGATCAAGGAGGAAGAAATTTGTATCCACAAATTGGTGCTTTCATTGAGAGAAGAGTCACACACTCGTAGAAGACTCTCGCATCAAAAGGTTTTTCTATTTTCTTGTCCATTTGTAGATTTTTCGTACGTTCTTATTATTAGAATTTTTTATTTGCAAAGATTTTTTGAGAAAACATAAAAGAGAAATACAATGGCTAGAAATTTAGAAATTTCCACAAGTGAAAATTTCAATACTCAAGAAATGGGATAGCGACGATCCACGAGGTTAAATGTGATCATAGGAGCGGCACCACTGCTATGGGGCTCCACCATGGCAATCACTGCGGTGGCCACCACAGCCACCACCACCACCACCTGCGGCGAAGTGCATGGTACCACTACCACGGCCCGAGCCGTGCCATCCAAAGCCCACGTCACCAAAGCCACGGCCCAAACCTCGCACCCGCGTGTATCACACGTCGAGCAGCTATGGTTTCCCAAGCAGCCCAAGTCGGCCCGAGAATATCTCAACCATTCGAACCAACCGTCTAGCAAGGGGCATTTTCACCATATTTCTCGGCTATTTGACATTTACCAACACCAATCTTACGCCCGAAGTCTACCACATTTCCATTACTCAAGGAAGCGTTTTCCTTCCAATCCAAATGGCGAACATTTGTCTCGACAAGTCATAAAGTTGACGAGCGCCCTTGCACAACAGATGACCTTGGTGAATCAACTTTTGTAACGCACCGAGATCCAACGTACCCTAGATGAGGTGTCCCGAAGTAAGACAAGGGCAAACAAGGCTTTCCAACAGTGTCCCGACAAGTAGCCACTTGACCAACCACGAGCCGAGCGTTCAGGTAGTGTACATTCCTGGATGGGCCCTCGAGATAGCGTATACTCCCTTCTTAGCACGCGGAGGAGCGTGTATTCTCGATTAGGCCCAAGGGCAAGTATACATTCACGGTTAAGGGCACACTCCGATGGTCAACATGAGCAGCCTTTTAGGCAAAGCATTCATTTGCGATTAGGCCCGCAAGGAGTATCATCCATATCACATCGGAGCAGGCAACATGACGAACGGAGAGAAGCGGTCACTCAATCCGGCTCAAGTTCAACCAGTAGTTTGCAAAGAATTCCCTCGCTTGCCAGAAGATGACCATATACCCCACTACCACGGTGTAGATAAGTTGAGAACATAAAAGAGAAGCCTAGACCAGTCAGTCAAGACCAGGGGCAGCCGAGAGCTCCGATACCCTAACAAAGGCAAATCCAAGAAGAGGTAGAGAAACTCCTCAACGAACGATTGTGTGATTTCCAACACAACAAAGTGGCTAATGAAGCATTACGATAGGAAGTAGTCCAACAAAAGTAGGCATGAGGCCAAGTGTAGAGATCGACCCATGAACAAATAAAGCCTGATGACTAAGAACTATTCTAAGTTTTTAATTTCGATCCATTAAATCCTTCACGACATCAAGAACGAGCCATAGTTCAAGTTGCTGAAACAATCAAAATGAGATACTTCTAAGTTGGACCACACCAAGTATTGCGCATTCCACCGAGGTCCTGGTCACATAATTGATGACTGTTACACTTGGAAGAACTACCTAGAAAAGCTCGTGAAAGAAGGCAAGGTCGACAGATACTTGGACAAGTCAGCCACGCAGCCAAGAAGGAACATAGACGACAACGAAGAGCCACTAATGAAGACGATTCGAATCAATGGTATCTTCGTCGAGTCCGAGCATTTGGGGGCCACCAACAACTTTAAAAAGACGAAGATCTACCAGGCTTTACTAGTCTCACAAGTCTAAGCAGTCGACACTCAACCTGGACCCCATTATTGGCTTCACCGAGCAGGATGCAGAAGGCGTCGATTTCCCACACGACGATGCACTAGTAGTATCTGTCCAACTAGCCCATGCTATAGTTGACAGAATGATGGTTGATAATGGAAATGCAGTCAACCTACTTCAGCTGTCAGTCATTTAGAAGATGGGCTTGGAAAGCACAATCATACGTCGAGCATTGGTACTTACTGGATTCAACAGGCACACCTCAACTGTCATCGGCCACATCACACTTGATGTAAAAACATCGCCAATTGTTTCAAGGTAGACATTCATGATCGTAAGCTACCCATCTCCCTATAATGGGATTCTTGAGAGACCTTGGTTGATAAAGCTGGATGCCGTTACTTTTGTCAAGTATTCCGTATCTTAGGATGAGGAGTCGAAGAGATCAAGTCTGACTAGGCCGCATCTCGACGATGTACTGTGCGAATGTTGAAAAAGTCAAAGAAGAAGACCTTCACCCCCGTGGAGGTTATCGAAGTCCAAAGGGACGAAGAAGCTACCACATAGCAATTATAGCAAACAGATTGAGAAGATGGCACCCAAGCAGACGAGCTATGATGGAAATCCAAAAATAACGTCGAAGACATCATTCTTGATCCCCAACAGCCAGAAAAGACGACTAGAATCAGCTCATGTCTAAGCCCAGTCGAGAATGAAGAACTCACGACTTTCCTTAGGGA